AATAATTAGTAGTGAGATGGGAAATATGTATAGCTTTGGATAGTTATATGTTAGCATAGCATTTGTATAGAGTTATATAGAATAATTTCATTTAGAAACTGTTAGCAAAGGTTGTGTTTCTGCATAAGTTTGATCAGCAGTTGTCCCTGAAGAACAACCATGAATATGGTTATACCAAGAATACCACTAAGAGAGGAAACAGTATGGAGTTTGGGGATGACCAGCATCAGTCCTTGGTACTTAAAGCAGTTGGACCCTTATATTACTCTCTATAAAGGATTCATGCAGTGTCTGTGCCCTGAAAATATACTGGAGGGGATAGTGAAAGGACACAGCTGAAGAGACTCTTGAGAATACAGAGGTCTGGAATAGTGAAACACGTGAGACATTATCCAGCAGTTTCTTTGTGAATCCACACAACCTCTCAGAAGTAAAACAGAATGGTCTTCTTATTATACTGGCTGTCACAAGACACAGCTTAGCATCAAAATGGCTGTCCCTGCTTGTGAGGTTCTCCTAAAATTGACTAAGCAAAGTGGCATTATACTATCCACTCAGAGTTTACAACTTTGACCTTGTTCAAATGTAATATCCCCTGGGGACAATTTAACTTTGAATTACACCAATCCTTCCTTGGTAGTAGTCTTCAATACTGTGGAACTAATCTTTGAAGGGTTTGTAAGGGGCCATAGTCCTGACTAGCACTAGAATTTTAATTCAGGCTACAAGATTTTCTACAAAACAAACAAACAAAAATGTTATGAGCTTGCATAGACAGTTAATTCTTAGCCAGAGAAGGGAGATGCATGATTTGCTTTGGGCTTTTGCTTGTTCTTTTTGCCTTCTGGAGAACCTCAAAAATTATCGTATTGGGTACCAGATAGTGAGTGAAAATAGACAAGTCAGAACATACTTATTTGTAGGAAATGTTTGGTTGCCTAAAACTTGGAAAAAATTCTGTTGCTCTGCAGCTTAATTGGACCCACCATAGTACTCTATTTTCCAACTAATTCTATTGCTAATGTCTCAGTGTTGCTGGTAGCATTTGTTTTTCTGAACAGAAAATATGGTCACATAGTTGTGTATGCTTGTGCGTATGTGTGCTGTGAACAGTCTACTGTAAATATGCATGTGTGGTATACATAGGTGTAACATAACAAAGAGGCTGAAAAAAGTTGATCTGAGTATGAGGGATATCCAGTTCTTGTAAATGTTTCCCTAATTTAAAACTAGAAATAGTGAAAGAAGTTAGTATAGTCTTTTGATGAGGATGAAATTTTAAAGTATGTCTAGTATGTTTCTGTTAATTATTCATGGAGGTCAGGTTGTGTTTTTGGCGGGGACCATTGTTGTATAATTGCTGAGAATGTATGTTTTAGCTTGTGAACTAAAGAGCTGAAGAGTTTAAAACTTTTGTTACAGATTTGTATTTCAGTCAATGTTTGTTAGAAAGAGAGGCATTAATAGACTGGTAATGATGACACTGTTGAATTAGGAGATGGATCGCTACACTAAGGCACTTTAATTGTCATAACAGTGACACTTTAAACCAGTTTTCAAACAATAGACTATAGTGTAAGTATTTGCATCACTGTTACATATTCACCTGGTGACCAGTGACACTGACTTCAGAAAGATCAGTTCAGGGCTGTTGTCACAGAGCTTTAAATAAATAAATAAATAAATATTCACTAGCACTGTCCATGGATTTAATTGTGGCTTTCCTTTTTGGAGAGAATGGAGCTGAAACTGGTCTTAGAAATGGCACAGCAGGATTTTGCAGCTCTTTGGCTCTGATTGCACCAATATGACACTCCTTAGGCTGCAATAATAAACCGTAAAAGGGAAGCTGGCAATAAAATTTCAGACTTGCTTTTGATTTTCTCCCTCTGTATTTTCCTAGCATTGTTTTAGAAAGACTTTACACTTTTGGTGGCATCGTATAGTTCCCATATTGTGATTAAAATAAGTATATGACATGCTAATTAACTAAACAGTACACTAGAAGTGCAGCATGACTTATGACTCATCTCTGAGATACACTTAATCGTGAGAATTTGAACAGGATATTATTTATTTTTTCCTACATGCTTTGTAAAGAATAACTGTGATGGCAGGTGGATGGGGCTTCTTCGAAAAATAATCTGTACCTTGTATTTTGTTTTTTTTTTAAGAGGGACGAGAAAAGATAGTTAAAGTCCTAAAGAACAGAAATTTTAATTATTTTATTTATGATATAACTGCTGATTCTGGCACAAAAAAGTTGACTATCATAAGCCACAGGTTGATTTGTTCTCAAGTGTTGCTGGTGTCCTGTTATTTTTGGGCTGTCCAAGCCTACAAAGCTTTAACTTTTCTCTGAATTAGTAACCTTCTACTTTTGAGGTGATTATGTCTGATTCTTGGGGTTTGTCCTGTGCACATGTTTCTGTTGCAGCTGAAGTTGAAATAATGCTAGGATGTAAATATCTATTTCAGGAGAAGGAGATGAGTAAATGATAACAAAGAAAAGATCTGGGGAGTCTCACACAGAACTGCATGGTAAGAGGTCTGTATGTGATTCCTGGTCATGCTTGCCTGAGATAATTTTTAGGGGGGTGTTTCTGCATCTAAAATCAATGGTCAGGGTTTAGATATGAGATATTAGAATCTAGACACTAATTTCAAAATTCGGGGAGATTTAGATTTTTGAGATGCAGACTATCAACTACTGTTATTTAACCAAAACTCTTAGTGAATTTGCTGTCTCTCCCTTTTGCTTTCCATAGGACTTTGATGCATAGTCTTTTTGCAAATCTAAGCTGACAGTGCTCTTCATCATTACATATCTAAACACATTTTGATATTTCCTCCTAAGTCTGCATGGTCAGATGGGAGTTAGAATACATGTCATACTCCACATTCAATTGTTGGGGAGAAAAGCTTCTACCCCAGAAAAATCTCTACAGAATTGACAAGCAAAAATTACTCCATAGAAGAAGAAAAAAGTTTGGGGTTGTTGTGGTTTTTTTTCTTTTCAATAGGAAATAGCCAGATACAATCTAAGCCTTGCAATAACTACCCCCCTGTGTGTGATTGCTGTTATGGAAATAACTGTCTTTTGTAATAATAAACTATTTCTCTCAGGGAACCTTTTTGCAACTTAAGCAATCCTGCAAGAAATTAAATGTTTCTCCTGGCTGAGGGAGGGTGCCAGATTCAAGCACTTCTCTAACAGTCTTAGGAAATTTTAAAAAAGCCTTTCACTTGAACACATGTGGGAAAACAGTTTGTGACCTTCCTATCACAGTCACATTTCACATCACTTTCACTTCCTGAAAGAGCCATGAAAAAGTTTATATATGAGCTTGAGGTCCAGATATGAGAAGACGAGAATTAGCACCAGATTTTGATTGGGAATTCATCCTGGCTAATAAAGAAGGTTTATATCATATGGTGCTACAAAAAGACAATTTTTCATAGGGTCTGGTTGATGACTTACTGGTGTATAGCATTCCATAATGTGGCTTTGCCAAATTAAAAGTTAGCATTTTTACCTTTTTAATTAATTCATAGAACTAATTTCAAACCCTCATTTTTCTCACTCATGCAAAATATTTGAGTATGATTCCTCAGACCTTATGGGACAGAACATTAACTATGAGTGTAGATACATTGATTTTAATATATTAAAATTAGTAATTGTCAGCACGATCTTCATGTCTGTTTGGAAACAAAATAAACTTTCAGACTTAGAAAAGGAAGACCGCGTTTTTAACAATAAAGCTGCTCTTTCCATTCTGTATTGCTTCTGTTGCCCTTAAGATATTGAGGTGAAGAAATAAAGTAAATTCCATCAGCTAAAAATAACAAAGATAACAGAAACGCATAAATTGAGTATAAATAATAGCAACACAAGTGAACTGAGGATTTAAAACAATAGTTGCGGTTTCTAACAGCAGGAGTGGATAAAAACAGAGCAATGAAATGCCCTTTAATGATTTTGAATAATTATTACTATTGTCTAAGTCAGTCAATTTTTAAACATTGAAAACTTTTACGTGTGTATGCATGGCATCTTTTTTGACAATCACGCCTTTTTCTTTGCATGTATATTAAAGTAAATAAGAATGTATAGTTCGACTCTTAGACTGTCACACTATAACAAAATAATTTGCTTTATTTGATCAATCAACAGGGTGCAAATGGTTGAATATTATTGTTATGCTTAAACCTAAGCTTTGATTTCTGATATTGCAGTGGTTAAAAGATAGTTTAACCCTTGTTTGCTTGTTTGTTTTAACATAGTTTACAGTATCGAAGGTGTATCATCATTATTTATGTTCTGAGCAATATAGTTAATTTAAAAAGCCTCGTGAACACCAAAATATAAGGCTATTTTAATGAAAAATTTTATGCTTTACAAGACTTTAGAGCTTCATATGTAAAATACTTGTAACACTGAAGTCTTTAAGTTGCACTTAGTGAAGCATTAATTCACATATACTAATTGAGTAATTACGATTGTGTTGCTGTGGCACTCAAAACGTTTATATGCTGGGAGTGAAAGTGCGTTGTTGTGGTTTGACTTTTTTCTTTTTTTTTTTTTTTTTTTAAAAAAACCTCATTTTCCAGTGGACTGAATATATTAGTGATGAATGTGCTGTGAAACTAACTGTTTGTTTCCATGCTGGAAAAGTTTCATGGCTCCAGCAATTGCTAGCCATTTTACCACACAGCATCCATCATTTTGTCAAAGTTTTAATGTTTTGTAGTGAACCACCTAGGAAAGAAAGGAGGAGAAAAGAATGACAGAACAGCTAAATTCTTTCATTCCATGCCAAAAAACTGACTGAAGTTTATCCCTGTTTGCCCTTGGAACAATTAATGTGACATTTTCCTGAATGCTATACTAAATTTGATTGTCAGTTATTGAAATGTATGTTTAAATCAGCAGTGATGCAACTCTAAGTGCTTTTTTCATTAATGTCGTAGAATCCTTAACCCACAACCTTTGACACATAACAGAATTAGAAAGCCTTTTGGACCATTTGGCTGAAGTTGTGCCCTCACTACAGTATCTCAGTTTGCTTGGAAACATGGCCTGCCCAAATGAACTAGTCTGCAAAGAAAAGGATGAAGATGACTACCAGAGGTACAGGTTAGTGTTTTCATTTGTAGATATGATAAGGTATGCCAGTTTTGTTTTATTACCAGAAAAATATTGAACGAAAACCAACTCAGAGTCTCAAACAAACATCTACTCTATTCTGAAAGCATTGTGGCATATTCTGCCATGAAACACCTGGGAATATGAGTAACCCCATTTCAGCGAGATCACTCTCAGCAACCCTATTTCAAGAAATATTTCAGTGCTGTACAGCACATGTTTGAGTTGAGCAGGTGTGCACAGGGTTTCCTGAGTGTGGGTGCTCATACGTGCCTACTTACGGCCTTTCCTTCTGTAAGGCCAAGGTAAGGCAACATTTATATATTCTATGGGTGACAGTTAATTAAAAAAAAAAAAATCACTACACTCAGCCAGTTGCATTGTCTTCTGCTAACATTCGGTTATGGTGATGAGTTTCTTCTACCATGGTTATCAAGGCATTATTAAAGAACACAGAAGAAAGGACTCCTCCTGTGTATTGTGCTGCTTTACTCAGAGCAGTTAGTGTTTAGATTCAAATAAGAAACCCCAAACTATCTCCATAATGTAATTTTAATGAGCTACATTACACAAAAGGTCACCTGGAAATTAATATGGAAGCCTGATAAAATGCTGTATGTCCAACTGATCCAACTGAAATATTGCTAAAAATTACGAGGGTTATTTTTTAAAAAATAAAAATAGTTATTACTGATGATGACTGGGAGTATAGATCCCAAACTTATGGAATGTCTGCTGAAGTGACATAATTTTCATAGCTATAATCTTTAGGCAAATGAGACATTGATTATTAAGAAAAAAAAAAAAAGTCATTGGATTTCTTTTTCCTTGCTTACATCTGATACAAGATTTCAGTCTTTGTGTGCTGGCGTTTTTCACATAGGCTGAAAATGGCTGTCTGAGGCAAGTCAGAGCCAAGCAGCACTGGTGACCACACTGCTGACCTTGCAGAGCCTGAGCTTACTTTTTATTAGCAGATCACCTGCAGTATTCAGAGTTATATAATAAAACTTTGATTTTATCTTCGTGTAATCCAAACTCTGCTGTAGGAGTTAGTATAAAACAATACAAAGTGACGGAGACTAAAAGCAGGTTTATTGGGAAGTGGCGTGAATTTGATGCACCAGTTTATTGCTCATAAATTCTGTAGGTTGAAACAACAGCACAGCTGTCTTGGGTGTGCATATACTTTTTTCTTTGTTCCAAATTTTTGCGAAGGTTTTCTAGGCTATCATTAGACTAAAGACTTTCAGCTTTTGAATCCAGCTTAGCTGTAGCATTTTGGTTTTCACCAAGTAGAGCAGCCTAGATTTAATAAAATATTTTCCCATTGCTTTCACACTTAAGTGGAAGGTATGCCTACTATCCAGCTTATGAGAGTGTAATAGTGCTGTCTCTATGTAAATTTATGTGACATTTGCACTAGAGAATTGCTTAAAAAATGAATTATATTTCTACAGTTTACTGTTTTTCACTTTAAGTATGTTTTCTGACAATATGTCTCCTATTAATCATTTAAGCAAAAGTAGTACGTTAAAGGAGCCATTCAGAGGCAAGAACCCATGGTTCATTTAGTGCTGTCTGAAAAAATTCTTTATTGATTGACATATTCTGTGGTTATGTGATGTAATATTTATAATATGTCACACAGCCATACATCAAAACAAGCATGTCTGTTGTTTCATTTCAATGCAAAAATGTTGATTTCAGAGAGGTCAAGGTAGTTTTAGGTCACATTGTGGCAAACCACCGTGTCAAAGTGTGAAATGATTGTATTTATGCATCTGCTGGAAACTGCAACATTGCTTTCATTTTCTTTCCCCTCAGTTTTTCAAAAACCTGTTTTTTTTTTTCCCATAGAAACTAGGTTAATTAAAGCTCTTTTAAGAAAGAAGAGTGGACTTCTAATTATTTGAATGATTTATGGTTCTGCTGCTATAATGAAAGCTTCCTGATCCTTCTCCATAATTATTTGTTACATTATATGAAATGTGTTTGCAAGGCAACATTAGACTCAAAATCCAAAAGTATCTATCTGTCTGTCTGTCTTTAGGGGGGAATATATTCACTACAAGGTGGAACCGATTAAAAGTACTCTGCTAATTTTACTCTGAATAGCTAATTCAGAGTTTTGAGTACATGTTCTGAATAATCTTGGACAAAACTTTTTTCTTCCTTTCCGCAAACATACAGATTTATCTCTCAGATTTAACAGCAGCAAGCTCTTCTGAGTGAGAAAGTATTTATATTTTATCAAACGTATTGCTTCAAATCTCAAAAGCAAACATTTGAAATGGCCAGTTTCAGCATTTTTTAATGGGTTGAAGTAACTTCTTTTCATAAGATTTTTTTTTTGAGAAAATTTGTCACACAGAAAGCACAAAAGATTGCATTTTAATGAACCTGAATTATGTAAACATTTCGCTTTACCATAAACTTTAACTGGTTTTGTTTTGTTCTGAATAGGAACTTCTTTTTGTAAATTTTTGCAGTGACCATTGGAACCACAGCTTCATTTTTCATTGAGCTTTAATTTCATTCCTCCTGAGTTCAATTAGAGTTCAGGCTATTTAATTCCTCAACCAGAAAGAGAAAGGTGCTAGAAATCAAAGCTTTACTTAATCTTGTCATTCCAACAAACTGAAAAGATCTGTAAAACCCCCAAAATCTCAACCTTAAAAAAATGTGGAAAATAAAATTTTTAAAAACTCAAGGTCCAGTGATTTACTGTGATATTAATAACAGAGATAAAAAGTAATATTACATCTTTTAAAAATAATTAGGTTTTATCATAAATACTTGGAAAATGTATAAAACTATGCTTTTTGTCAAGAAGTTATGATCTGGTTGCTCAGGTAATCCATTGGTATACCATTCTATCAATTTCAATACTAAAGCTTTTCCCTAGTTTTTCATTAAAAATAGGTTTTATACAAAAACATTGTTGTGATTTTTTTTCAAAGTAGTTATTTTTTCTAAGAAAGTGGGATATATTTTTTGGGGAAAAAAAAAGAAAACCTTTTTTTTTTTTCCCATCCCTGTTATTCCTCCTTAGCTTTCAAATGTGTAGGAGAACAAATTGATGAAAACATTTCTATGTTTTTTATTGGAATTTTTGCTTGGACAGGAAAAGAAAATGGAAAATTCCCTTCTGCGATATTTTTATAAGCAAACTTGTTTGGTTCATTTTAAAATCTCATGGTTTTTTCCATCATTGTAAAATGGCTTTCGTTTCGTTCTGTAACAAGAAAAAAAAAAGTGCCATAAGTTCTTACTTTTTTTCTGTATTTGGGAGGTGATGTTTTGTAAAGGGGTATCTTGGCGGTGAGGGCAAGGGAAAGCAGAATATCTAAAATATAATCATGATAGGAAAGTTTTAAAAGCTTTTGGCTCAAACAGGAAGCAAGAAACACAGAAAAATAGCTTGCAAAACAGTGCATCCTCTAAAATAACCTATTCTACAATCTCTACTTTGAAGATTGCGTGAAAGCAAAGGTCATGACCCGGAGATCAAAGTAACAGAAGTCAACACAGTAATTGCTGGTTGCTTCTCTTGTACCCGCACTTGGTCAGTCCTGTGGGTGTATTGTTTGCAGTGAAAACTTCAAACGTGGTGTTACTGAACTGTGAAAAATCATCTGGGTCAGAATGTATTACAAAGCGTTTGCTAATGCTGCAGGTGACCTCACCTATTTTCATTAAAGTGATATGATTGTGAAGGATGTATGCTATGTGTGAAGTTTTCAGTGCTTGTTCACTCTTCTTTGCTCTTTATTGACATTTCCTGGAATGATGCATTCATTAAGAGCTGTTGACATGGAAACAAGGGCAAGTGGAAACAAATGCCTGAGTTTATTTTAAATAAGCTTAAAAGTACATATACTAGATATGCTATCTTTGGCAGGGGGAGCAAATGGTGATAACCTTATGAAGTCCTCTTAAGATATAACAGCAAGGAAGGAAGTGCATGCATTTTGTATGGATTAACTTTTCAAGCTAAATCAGCTATTCCCATCCCACAGGTTTGATTGTGTGAAATGCTGGGTCCTCTTATAGCATTTCCAGTTTCCTTGCAGTTTTGTTTTGTTTTATTGTGGTTTTGTTTTGTTTTCATGTTTTTTTTTTTTTTAATTGAGACAGAACCTACTCATCTATTTTAAATAGTCTTGTTTTTTAATTTGTATGGTAATATAAATACATAAATCCATATTCAAGAAGCAATAGGAGACCAGAAGTCCTCACGCTGTAATGAAAATAATGCTAATATACTTGGTCAATATCAGTGAACTTACTGTTGAGGCTCTCTTTTAGCAGAAGGGATTGAAGTCTGTGGTACTTCTGCATATGTTTTTTATGTACTTCGTGAGACGATTAGGGTATTCCCTTACATCTGCATAATCTATGAATCTGTGCTAGTTCACTGTTTGCATGAGGCCTTGTCGTTTCTACAGTACCTGGAAGAAAAAAACCTGGATTTGATAGACATAAAATAGACACAACTTCCATCTGAGATTAGCCACTGTAAGGATTTATGAACAAAGGCTATTATAATGTTTTTGTTCAGCCAAATAAATTGAAGTCCATAATACCCCAATTTGTCCATACTAAGCCAGTAAGTCAAGACATAACTAGAATTATTGTTACATGTATAGAGAGATATTTTTCTAATTCATAACGATGTTTGCTACATGGAAGTAGGGCAGAGGATGTTAAAGTATTAGGAGGCAGTCTGGATTTCTGAGTGTCTTGAGAGCCCCTCAGAATTGCATGGTCATCACCAAGCAGTGCCAAGGTGCACAGAGGCTATGTGATCTTCTAACATACCTCATGCCAACATCATGTCCTCTGTTCTGGAAGGTGTTGGTTTAAGTTTATGACCTGGTTTCCTTAACTCTGTATTGAGGAAGTTTTGTTGCAGATGGAAATTCTGCAGCCAGCTATATGCTGTTTGGTGGGGCAAGGGTGGGGGTAGGAGTTAAACTTTTTGGTGG